CCTAGAGACAGAACATGGCAAAAGATGCTGGACAGAACCTGGCTACAGAACTTGGTTGGAGAACCTAGACAGAACCTGGCTGCAGAAGCCGGCTACAGAACCTGGCGACCGAACCTGGCCGGAGAACCTAGAGAGAACATGGCTACAGAACCTGGCTGGAGGACCTGGAGAACGTGGCTGGAGAACCTAGCAAGAGAACATGGACACAGAACTTGGCTGGAGATTGTGGCTAGGGATCCTGGCAAGCCTGCTGATCAACTGAACGCTGTCTCCATGTCATTCCTTCTTCGCTGACTCCGTCCACACCTTTGGGGACCCCTGGACCTGCTGGGGTTGGACCCCAGCACATTTTAAAGTAATACCAGTTAATCACATTATAAATCAGTAATGTGCTAGCCCCGTACTTAATCTCTGTGGTAACATTAGTGTCTATAGATCAGGCATGCAGACAGGAAATGATGCTAAATGTGCATTGTGAGGTTCACGTTCTTGTCACTTATTCAGGGTGCAGAGAAGAGGATGCCTGCTGCAGCTCTTGCCTACCCCAGCAGATTCCCTGGGGATATGTATCACCCAGCCAACACACATACTCATTTGTCAGTTAGGACTTGGTTGCACATCCCTCTAGCTTCTTATACCCTATTAAGTTAGTCTTGATCACGTGTGAAATTGGATGAGGTTTTTTCCCCTCAACTTGAGGTATCTCTAGATCTGCACCCTATTCTTGACTCCCTAATCATGAAAGGGAAAGCAGGTCAAGACCCAAAATATAATGGGATAACCTTTCCTCCTTCAATATAAAGTAGATAAAGTCAAGCCATCTGTTTCACACTTTGTATAATGTTTTTATTCTAGACATAAGATTCAGCCATTGCTTAGAGCTTGATAAAAATAAAAAACAGGATAATAACATAATAAATGATCGAGAGGACTCTTTAGATAGGCAGTATCATAAGGCTGTCTTGAGGAGGGGAAATAGGAGCTAAGGCATGAAAGACAAGGGATTTATAATGATGCTGAAGGGGATGAGCTTTCTGGAAGGAGAGCACTTAAGTGTGAAGACTCTAAGGCAGGATTGAGCAGTTTGGAGAACAGGGAGAAAGCCAGGGAGGCAGGAACACATTAAATGAATTGAGAGTGTAGGAGGGTGAATTCACAGAAGTAGATTAAGCCAAATTATAGAGCCTTACAAACTGTGATAAGGACCTTTCATTTTATTCGAACCATGATAGAAATCCATAGGAAAGTTTGAAATAGAGGAGTGATGTAATCTCATGTGCAATTTAACATTTTTGTCTGGATACCATATTGAACAGGAATTGTAGGAGAGTAGAGAAAGAGTCAGAGAGACCAGTTATAAGGCTATTGTTAGTCCAGTTAAGAAATGAGGTGTCCTAGCTGAGTGTTCAGCAACAGGTACACTTTGATGATTGAGTCAATAAGGCATTCTAATAGTTTTGATGTTTTTAATAAAAGTACAGGCTGCTTCCTCACTTGGGCGTTTATGTAAATGAAGGGCCATTTGCTGAGACTGGGAAGACTAAAGGAGGACAGCATTTAGATTTTTGTTTTAGACTTAGTAAATTTGAAATAGCTCTTCTGAATCTAAGGAGATGTCAGTTGGCAGTGTCTTTGGTTTTGTTAATTTAAAAGATTTAAATAAAAGTTTAATTTACATTTCTAAGAAGCATTCAACTCTTTGGATGATGCAGCCTTTGTTAAAATTTACTGAATACAGAAGTGTAATGCTGAAAGGCTACCCCTAAAATTGTTTATTTGCTTATAGGCCAAAAGGATTCTTGAAGGAGATCATAGCTCACCTGCTGCAGAAATTGATGCAGAAGACAGAGTACGTGCTAATTAATTTGTGCCTAAAAATAATGCGTTCAAAATGAGATTAAGTGATTTTAATAGCTTTTACCTTAATGTTTGAGAGCAAAGTATATTATCAAATATCATTTCTTCTGACAAATCTTTATTTCTTTTAAAAACAAAACTAAAATGATTCTTTGTGTTTTTTATTAGATAATGACTATTATTAATTTTTATGATAGACTTACTATGTATCTTTTTAAAATGTACTTTAAGAAATTAATTGCTCAAATTTATTTGTGGCTAGGACAAGGATGAGACCAAAACAGTTAAGCAGACTGAAACATCTGAGGGGTATGAAGGTGACGCTCCCAAAAATGTGAGATCTGATATTTCTGATCAAGAGGAAGATGAAGAAAGTGAAGAATGTCCAGTGTCTATTAGTAAGTTTAAAGGGTTCATGCTAGGATCATACACTTGTTCTTTGTTTGTTGGTTTGTTTTTTGTTGTTAATCCTCACCCAAGGATATTTTTTTCATGGATTTTTTAGAGAGAGTGGAAGGGTGGGGGGGGAGAGAGAGAGAGAGAGCGAGAGAGAGCGAGAGAGAGAGAGAGATCTCTGTGAGAGAGACAAATCGATTGGTTGCTTCCCACATGTGTCCTGACTGGGCCAGGGATCGAACCTGCAACCCAGCTACTGGCCCTAGACTGGGAATTCAACCCTCTACCCTTTGGTACAAAGGTCGATGCTCTAACTACCGAGAACACCAGCCAGGGCCATGTACTTGTTCTTTATAGGTCTCTTATTAAAACAGTTTGGTGAAATGTAATGACTATAGAATTAGGTGCCTGACAACTCTGAATTTGAATTGCAGTGTAATTCTGACTAAATTACTTGTTTCTGCACCACAGTTTTTTCTAGTACTTACTGTTTTGAAGATTTTAGATGTTATATGTAGAGCAATTGGACAAGACCTAGATGGTTTGGCTCAGTGGATAGAGCATCAGCCTGTAGACTGAAGGGTCCCAGGTTTGATTCCAGTCAAGGGCACATGCCCGGGTTGTGGGCTCAATCCTCAGTAGGAGGCATGCAGGAGGCAGCTGATCAATGATTCTCTCTCATCATTGATGTATGTTTCTCTCTCTCCCTCTCCTTTCCTCTCTGAAATCAATAAAAATATTTTTTATTTCTTAAAAAGCACTTGGACAATATAAGAATGCAATAAATTGTAGCTATTATTAAGTGCTGAAAATTTACCAAAAAATTGTGTTAACCATCATAGATTTGTCCAAAGCTGAAACTCAAGCACTGACTAATTATGGAAGTGGAGAAGATGAGAATGAAGATGAAGAAATAGAAGAATTTGAAGAGGGACCTGTAGATGTACAGACTTCACTTCAGGCTAACACTGAAACTACAGAAGAAAATGAACACGATGATCAGGTATCCCAGTGTAGATTAACACATTTCCCCGATCTTAACTACTAAAAGCAGATCCTTTTTAAAGATGTCAAAATTTACAGCTTCCCCATTCTCATGTTCATGAATACAAAATTTTAAAATATCCTTGGCTGCTGGTATTCTGGAGCTAGATGTGAGAATGGAGCTGAGGGTCTCCACATTATACAGACTCACTGAATCCTGTTTTCAATGTGATGCTTTGTCCTGCCCTCATTCATGCTTTCCATACCCCACTCCTACTCCAGATGCCCCCTAGGCCTGAGAATTACTAATTTCTCCAAAATGCAATCTCCTGTTTTCTGTTGAAGTTGAGGGGAAGGAACCTAGGTGTCCACATTTTCCTTAAACGAATTCATATATCCACCACCACCCCCTTTTCATCACCAACTCCTCACCACAATATTCCTTTCTAGAATCTGGCACTTCTAATTATGAGGTGAATCTCAGTTTTAGTTTTCTCCTGCTGCTGAAGGCACCTAGCTTTGTTCATCTTTCGCCCCTCCTGGTCAGTTCCTCTTCCATTCTTTTATCATCCTATATAATAAAGAGGTAATATGCAAATTGACCATCACTCCAATACACAAGATGGCCGGCAGGGGAGGGCAGTTGTGGGCGATCAGGCCAGCAGGGGAGGGCAGTTGGGAGGGACCAGGCCTGTAGGGGAGGACAGTTAGGGGCGACCAGGCCAACAGGGGATGACGGGCAATCGGGCCGGCAGGGGAGCAGTTAGGCATAAATCAGTCTGGCAGGCAGAAGTGGTTAGGGGCAATCAGGCAGGCAGTCAGGAGAGCGGTTGAGAGGGCAGTTGGACATCCCTCGAGGGGTCCCAGATTGGAGAGGATGTAGGCTGGGGTGAGGGACACACACACACACACACACGCACACACACACACGCACGCACGCACGAATTTCGTGCACCAGGCCTCTAATCTACACATAAACAGGTGTATGTTTTATTTAACCAGTTAACTGCCACGGTATTTTGAATTTAATTTAAAAAGATCCACCACTTGCGTCTATAAATGCTTATGGTGTACAAATGGTTAAGATAGAGTCTGACCTAAAAAAAATAATAAAAAATAGTGGAATCCATAATATTCCTAGTTCTGTGTATTGGAGGTACTTTACAGAAAGAGGAAACTTTTTTACTTAGTTATCTTGAAATTGCAATCACAACCTCCTTGAAATACTTTTAGAAGATATTTTTAAGTTCTTTTGCATAAAGGTCTCAGGTTGGACAAAAGCCACATAGTAGTAAACACCTGTATAGTGACCATATATTTTAGGCCTTACTATCAAAACATTATTTTTTTCCTTCTAGGTTCTTCAACAGAACTTCGAAAAATCAGCAGAAAGCAAAAATGTACCATCAGAACAAGAACCCACTACTAGTAAAGGTAAGAAATCTAAATAAGTATTCAATTTTAAGATGATTTAAAGTGCTATTTATGTGCTTAAAAATTGAAAAGAAAAAAATATTCTTAGCTAATGTAAGTTTGAAGGTATTTTGGGCCTAATGTATGGTCCTTTTCTCCCCCTGATAATGTAGAAAACATTAGGGCTTTGTTTTCTGCCAACAGTTGTTAAAGAAAAGTTGACATACCTAAACACACAGAAAAAAATCTATAAGGAAGACATCTTTAGATAGAAATGTGGGGGATTAAAGAACAACAACACCTGTTCCTGGGCTTAAGTCCTGAAATTCCTGCTTCATTAGAAATCAGATGGATTTTAGGAATCTAATATTTAAAACAACCCCAATTAAATTTGAAAACTGTTAAGGAAAATTTATAGTTGCCTTTCTTTTGTTCTTAAATGTCTTAAATGCTCTGACTCATATATACTGCCTTTATTTCGCGTAGTAATAAAGTTTGACAGCTGTTACATTACACTAATGCAGAGGTTTTTCTTTATGACAGATGACCAGGATAGTGCTCCTATGAAACCGTGTTACCTCAATATCTTGGAAAATGAGCAACCTCTAAGTAGTGCTGTCCAAAAGGACTCGCTTACTACCACTGATTCATCTAAACAGCCTAGCGCTTTGCCTTTACCTTTAACTGAAATTGAAACCTTGGTGCCTAGAGTCAAAGAAGTTAAATCTGCTCCGGAAACTCCTGACAGTTCTCTGGCTGGAAGTCCTGATACTGAATCTCCAGTGTTAGTAAATGACTATGTATGTATCCACTTACCTTTCTAAATATTTCTGCATTTCATTTCTGTGCATATTTATTTTCAGGTTAACATTTCAGCATGTAAACACAACCTTTATGTTTAGGTTTAGAAACTATCAATATCTTTATTTCTTATTCAAACTTATTTTAAACTTGAACAGAAGGGTGATTAAGGTGACTATCTCAATACCTAAAAGCTATTCTGTGCATAATTTTGAGAGCTGAAGAGATAAGTTTTAGGTGGCAAACTGAAGGGAGTTCATTTTTAAGTTCAGATCTGATAGGATAATGATATTTGGGTCAGGATTACTCTCTTATACTACTCTTACATGACTTTTCAACTGTTTACAGCATTTCATAAATTTTGATAAACCTGAAAGTTTACATTTGGAATGGGAAAGAAAACAATTTGATAGCAATAGTCTTTTTAAAAAAATACATATTTTTATTGATTTCAGAGAGGAAGGGAGAGGAACAGAGGGAGAGAGGGAGGGAGGGAGGGAGAGAGAGAGAGAGTGAGAGAGAGAGAGAAACATCAATGATGAGAGAGAATCATTGCTTGGCTGTTTCCTACACTCCCCCTCCCCCCATTGGTGATTGAGCCCCACAATCAGGGCATGTGCCCTGGCCGGAAATCACACCGTGATCTAGATCACAGGTTGATGCTCAAACACTGGGCCACAGCAGCTGGGCAGCAAAAGAGTCTTTATGCCTATACACTGAATGACAGAAAACAATGCTAGGAAATATGCTACCAAATCAGGACCTTTGTATTAATTTAATTTTACAGCAAACAGGTTTATTTTTTGGATTCTTGGGTTGTGTATGTTTTATATACTTTGTTTTACAGCAAAAATGAAGGGATTTATAACAATGTACTCTTAGGTCTAAGGAATGTGTTTCCTGTATTTTTAAAATTTACATCAATTTTCTTCCTAAAGATAGATTTACAATTATGTTTTTATAATTTCTCAACAAAGGGGCTTAAAATGTTTCAAAAAACATTAGAAGAAAAAGTAATTCTCAACTCTATTTTATTTTCTTCATTAACAGTAAAATTATGCACCTAAAACTCTTAAAGTTCCATGTTAGATTTATTCCTATTACCATTTGATGAGTTGCTGAATGAAGTACTGCATGAAATTAACTTGAAATTAGATTATAAAGCAGTGGTTCTCAACCTGTGGGTCCCGAACAATGAAAATACATCCTGCATATCAGATATTTACATTACGATTCATAACAGTAGCAAAATTACAGTTATGAAGTAGCAACAAAAATAATTTTATGGTTGGGGGTCACCACAACATGAGGAACTGTATTAAAGGGTCGCGGCATTAGGGAGGTTGGGAACCACTGTAAGGGTCTTGAATTTGAGGCAAGGACACTACTGAAGGTTTTTGCATAAGAAAGTGAAATGTTTATAGTCATGGTTTTTGAAGAAGAATTTGATGGCTGTATAAAATATGTTGTCATGGGAGCAATGTTAGGAGTCCCATTATCATATGAATACAAAATAGAAGCTAAATGGGAGATGGGTGAGAGATGGTTCAAGAAAAAGAAAAACCTACAGTTTCCACTTGGGTAATGGTAGGATAAGAATACTATTAAAACTTGAGAGAACTAAGAGAATAAGAGAATTCAAGTTCCAGTGTGAGCTGGTCACAGATATGAGTACTAAATTCCTGCCTCATTTTTCTGGTTGAGCTTCCACAGATTGATATTGAAAGTCTGTAAATGTTTACTTAGATTCTGCTGGATACAGCTCTGATGTATTCTGTAAACATATCACGGACCAAGCATTTTTCTTCTGATGATTTTAGCCAATTATTTCCTCCTTTAGCCCGTAGAACAGGGGTGGGCAAACTTTTTGACTTGAGGGCCACAGTGGGTTCTTAAACTGGACCGGAGGGCCGGAACTAAAGCATGGATAGAGTGTTTGTGTGAACTAATATAAATTCAAAGTAAACATTATTACATAAAAGGGTACGGTCTTTTTTTTTTTTTTAGTTTTATTCATTTCAAACGGGCCGGATCCGGCCCGCGGGCCGTAGTTTGCCCACGGCTGCTGTAGAAACTGGCTCTTTGTTTTATAAAATGAAAACAAAAACACAAAGTCTGTTCCCTACCTGAAAGTGTGCAACCCTTCCTATGAACTCTAGGTTTCTGTTTCATTACAGAGTTTAATTACATTAGAAAACCAAAGATGATAGAATTTTGTCTCTTGGCATGGGTGACTTTGGTTTTAAATACAGAGATGAAGTGGATTGCCTTCATTAAATGCTAATTTGTTTATATTACAGGAAGCAGAATCTGGTAATATAAGTCAAAAATCTGATGAAGATGACTTTGTGAAAGTTGAAGATTTACCACTCAAACTGACAATATATTCAGAGGTATGTGGCTCTCTTTAATTAAACTTATCTTTTATAACAAATATTAAGATAAAAATGATTTTGGTTTTTTTTTTCATCATTCCAAAGGCAGATCTAAGGAAGAAAATGGTAGGAGAAGAACAGGAAAACCATTTATCTGGTGAAATACGTGAAATGCAGAGTGAAGAATTAGCTGGGAATTTTCAGACACTAAAGGAACCAGGTATGAGTTATTAGTTTTAACCGTATCATATTGAAAATTTACTCAGTCTTACACCATCATTCATAAATGGAAAGTGGGTATTTAGACCTACCTCTCCCCTCAATGTTCATATTGGGTTTTTTTGGTTTTCTGTTTGTTGCCTTTGTTATTTTTAATATACATTTTCTAGTTTCATCAGCTTTGGTCATTACCCAATTACTCCTTCCTTCTTCCTTTTTCCTTCTGTTCAGTTTTCATCATTTCTTACATTATTAAGGTTATTAAAGTAAACACACTTATTTTTATTTTTGTTGTTAATCCTCACCTGAGGATATTTTTCCATTGATTTTTAGAGAGAGTGACAGGGATGGGGAGAGACACAGAGAGAGAGAAACATCTATGTGAGAGAGACACATTGATCAGTTGCCTCTTGCACAGGCCTGGACCAGGGCCAGGGATCAAGCCTTCAACTGAGGTATGTGCCCTTGACTGTAATTGAACCCCGGACCCTTCAGTCCGCCGGCCGACAAAATCTCTATTTTCCTGAAGATGGTTCTATATAAACATGATTCATTGCAGAGCCAAGTGATAGTCCCAGATTTCCTTTATAGTCCAATAGCACAACCTCTGGGCCACTCAAGGGAGCAGTTCTTGAATCAAGGTCCAAAGATTTTTGTTTTAGAAATGGGGTGAAGGGCAGACCAAATATCAAACCTTCAGTTAATTTCCCAGTCTTCAGCCTAGTTGCCTTTTCATCTGGTACCTCTCTCATAGTGTGTCCAGGCTGCGGCATCTTCACTCTCACTGAACCTCCATTTCGGCGTCTGGGAACTTGATGGTGTCTTCTGTCCTCTGTTCGCTCAGAACCACTCTTCCTTTGTTGGTTTGGATTTATTCATTTTTACGCTCCCCCCACCTACCCCACCCACCCATCGTTGAGAGAGAGAGAGAGAGAGGAGAGAGAGAGAGAACCTGCTCAGAAGTCTGCCATCTTTTTTTTTAAAAATATATTTTATTGATTTTTTTACAGAGAGGAAGGGAGAGAGATAGTTAGAAACATTGATGAGAGAGAAACTCCTACTGGGGATGTGCCCGCAACCAAAGTACATGCCCTTGACCGGAATCGAACCTGGGACCTTTCAGTCCGTAGGCCGATGCTCTATCCACTGAGCCAAACCGGTTTCGGCAGAAGTCTGCCATCTTAAAACAGAAACCCTCATCTATTCTTTAAAAACTCTTACTGTGTGTTATCAGGGAATTATCTTATCAAAGTAAATTAGTATTTCCTTGGTAATAACTTTATATTAAAAGTGAACATTTTAATGGAAGACAAAAATATTAAATTCTAGTTAGTAAAATTTTGATTCAAGTAATTTACAAGGCCTTATTATTTTGTTTTTCAGAAACAGTGGGGGCCCAAAGCACATGAGATGTCTTCAGAGGCTCATCTGACTCTCTCTTTACATAGTCAATGCATATATGAAAATGGTTCTAAATAAACATCTGTTTTGAGCTGTATAAAAATGTATATTAGTTTGACACTGCATTTTTGATAGGTGTGCTAATTTCTGCCCATGGCAGTTAACATAAGGAACTAACTTCTGAACACATTCAAGCCTTGATACACTGTGGGGTTTTCTCTTTCTCTTTCCTTTTTCCCCCCGCATTGTGATGTTTGGTAATGTTGAATTTAAAATGTAGTTTTAAATAAAGTTTGCACTTACCTGTAAAGTATCTTTTTTGGAAATTATGTTGAATTCCATATAGCAAGATACTGCTCTATATAATTAGGCTGTTCAACGAGGTAGTGGTCGGGAGTTAGAGAAATACACTATTATAAAGTTAGCCGTTATGGCAGGCTTCCAAGTAATGTCAGTGTTACTGCTCTTGGGTCTAATGTTCGTATCTTATTCCTGTGCAAGGTAGGACAGGTTATAAAGGTTTCTGGGATATCTGTGAAGTTATCGTAGAATATATATTAATACTCTATTCAAATTGGATAAATAAGTTTAGAACACATGTCCTTAGTACCGACTAGATAATTTCCAGAATTTTATTCCTATCTATGTTGTCTCCATCTGAAAAGAAATATGTTTTATATAATTAGAGCACATTTCTGCACAGACAGTAACATTATAGTTAATTTTAAATGAAAAACTGAGCTCTTCCAAGTGTGGATTAATAGAAATAAATTCATGTATCAGAACATTAAGGTTATGTATGCCTTTGGATGAACTATTGAGATGATAGTTTAAGACCAAAGCATAGCAGTTGCTTCTGTGAGTACTGAGGGAGATGAAGTATTAAGTAATGAAAATCGACATGACTTCATTACTAAGTCAGCCAGCTTTTAAAAGATGGTTTACCTTTGATCCCAAACTTGCCATATACCTAGTAAGGCTCCACAGAACCAGTTAACAGTTATTTATTCCAGGTATCGTTTAAATTTGTTAAAAAATGACAAATACCCTATAAAAATTGGTTGGTATTCCTTTAAAATTCTTACCTGCCTGATACCTCAGTGTAAAACTGCAGTGTCCAATCAGGAGTATTAAACGAACATTTTCCTATGAGGACATTTACTGTGTTGCTACTTAATTTAGAATTGTGTGAGACATATATTTCCTACTTGAGTAAAATCTATTCAGAAGACTGTCATTCCAGAATCAGGAATTCATATCCAGTTGGCTTGGCTTCAGGGAAACTGAAACAAATTTTATGTATGCTCCAATTCTGTGTTTGTTTTTTAGGTTGTATAGGAGGGGGAAACTTCATTTTCGTACGCAAGCCAAGCCTCACATATTGACTCTCTCTCCCTCTGTATGCATGTTAAGGGTGGATATAATGGAAGAGTTGTACTCGTATCTTAGTTGTTACTGTAGTACCTATGACCCTTATCAGACTTGTTTGACTTATGTTATAGCTGCTATAATCATTTTAGTAGGTAATTAAGTTTTAAAGTACCTAGAGCTTGAGAGCAAATAACTAGTTTCATATGTTTTTCTCTAGTAGCTGTTGCTAAAGAGTTAGGTATTTAATATTCCTGTCTGTCTTAATTTATAAGTTAAAAATTTGGTTAGAAATAAAAGAGGGAGAAAAGGTCAAAATGAGAGAGAACCCTACACAGGTTGGGATCCTGCTTGCGTAGTGAGCTCAACAGACTGTGCAGGTACTCTTTGTATTTTGTAACATTCACTTTGGGTAAATGCTTTTTCACTGTTAATAAATGTATATCCTGCATATGAGCCTGAATTGCATTTTCATTTAAATTGACATATTTATGCTTAGAATTTATTCCAGAATTGGGGCTTGACAATTTTAGATGTAAAAAGAAATCAAAACATGAAAAATAATGACATACCAACTAGCCAGAGAGACGATTTATTAAACTTGAGACCATTTTTCTTACAGTGCAGGTGTGCTCTACTATTTACTATCTAATGTGGAAAACATTTTTGTATGTATATAAACTTTAAATGGCATATTTCCGGCTTGTTGCTAACTTTAATATTAACAGGCCATTTCTTGATCTGTTAACAAAATAATTGGTTCTGGATTTCACTTATTTCACTGTAGAAATGTGGTTGCCTTGTCACCTATCCTGCTGTCTTTACATGTCTGGTTCTTTCCTCATATTGCTGGTGCTTCTGATTAAGGAATCGGAGAATCCTATGCCTACAAATGACTTTGATTCAGATACAAGAAGAGTTTTAATTACCAATTCATTTCATCTGCCCAGACTCAGAAACATCCATAAATGAACCTTTGAGCCCTAGCTAGTTTGGCTCAGTAGATAGAGCCGACACCTGTGGACTGAAGGGTACAGGGTTTGATTGTGGTCAAGGGCACATGCCCGGGTTGCAGGATCAATCCCCAGTAGGAGGTGTGCGGGAGGCAGTCAATCAATGATTCTCTCATCATTGATGTTTCTCTCCCTCTCCCTCCCTCTTTCTGAAATCAATAAAAATATATTTTTAAAAAAGAACTTTTGGGCCAGCAATTTACAGAAAACTACTGGTTATTTTGAAAAGTTGTAAAGTTTCAGTACAACAGAGTTCTCATATAATAATCTTTTTTTAAAAAAAAATCATTGTTGAAAGTATTACACTCACCACCCCACTCTCTGCATCCATGGTAATATTCTTGCATTAAGATTTGCTATGTGTAGTTAGTTACCCCTGATATTTAGGTCTATCAAATCACATGTGATTAACTTAAATAATAGTTGTAAATATTGTTATATTGCTAAAAATCCTCACCTTTAATGAACTATATCTCCCAGAATATAGCAGCCTGTTTAAGGCCATCCTATTGATCAAATGACATCATGAAAGAATTTTTAAAAATATTTTTTATAATTGATTTTGAGAGAGAAAGGGAGAAGAAAGCATCCATCAGCCACAACCCTGGCATGTGTCTTACTGGGAACTGAACTAGCAACCCTTCAGTGCAAGGGACAACACCCAACCAACTGAGCCACACTGGCCAGGGCAATGTCATAGACTTTTAAAATATAAAGTGCTATGCCAGTTCACATTAGTGATATTTAACATTTGTGTTAAACCTCTCTTTTAGTGAGACTGTGGACAATTAGAGTTCTTCCATCTCCATTGCTCCTTCACCTGTTGGATATTCAGTATTTTCCTAGAAAGGGAATATGGGTTAGTCTGTCCAACGTTCATGTAAATGTTTTGATGACGAGTGCTACACAGATGTAAGGCATCACATATGTATCCATGTTTGAGGAAAGAAAGGTACAGGAAGGAGGGGATCTACTAGAACCCACACTTGGTTCCATATGTTCTTTGCTTAACAAACGTTCTTTTCTATTATGTCCTGGCTCTGAACTCTTTGTACCTCTTTATGTAAGGATGTGAAGTCTAAAGATAAAGAGCCTTCGTTCTAGTGGATCTTAGTGTAGAGTTTTCCCAGTTTCACCATTCTAGTTATCTTCCATTTCATTCTCCTCTTTCCATTCTTTCTTACTGTCCCTCCCAACCCCCAATGTTTAAGACATGGATAAATGAAGTTCAGTTAAGCTACAAATTAGTATTTCAGATAACTTTTTAGATTTTATAATTTTCAGTTTCACTTTGGATTATATCACATATGATTGCTCCTTGCTTTTTCTCCTTACCTAAAACTAGGTGGAGAAATTATAGGCCCTGGTTTGGATGCAACCAGTCCAGGATTATTATCCAGCATTTCTAAAATTACAGTTGGACCATTGTCAACCTATTTGTAAACATCTCCTCCTAATCATCTTTCTATGTTGTAGATGTATACCTATTTATGCATAAGCATACATAAAGTATTATATAAATAGGCCTGCCTATACTATATATCCTAAAGTAAACAACTCTACTTCAAATTTTAATATCAGTTACTAGAGACCCGGTGCACAAAAATCGTGCACTTGGGGGGTAGGGTGGGGAGAGTCCCTCAGCCAGGCCTGCGCCCTCTTGCAGTCTGGGAGCCCTCAGGAGATATCTGACTGACAGCTTAGGCCCCGCTTCCTTAGCGCCACCGTGGAGGTGGGAGAGGCTCCCACCACTGCCTCTTTGCTCGGCAGCTGTGAGCCTGGCTTTTGGCTGAGCGGCGCTCCCCATGGGAGCAGTGACCACCGGGGACCACTCCTGCATTGAACATCTGTCCCCTGGTGGTCAGTATGCGTCATAGCGACAGGTTGTTCTGTTCAGTTAATTTGCATATTAGCCTCTTATATAGGACTACAGGCCAGGTGCATGAAATTCGTGCACCGGGGTGGGGAGAGTCCCTCAGCCTGGCCTGTGCCCTCTTGCAGTCTGGGAGCCCTCGGGGGATGTCCAACTGATGGCTAAGCTGGCAGTTGGACATCCTTAGTACTGCCCCGGAGGTGGGAGAGGCTCCTACCACCACTGTTGCACTCACCAGCTGTGAGCCTGGCTCGGGGCTACTGGCTGAGCAGCACTCCCCCTGTGGGAGTGCACTGACCACCAGGGGGCAGCTCCTGCATTGAGCGTATGGCCCCTATTGGTCAGTGCACGTCATGGCAACCAGTCGTTCCACCATTCAGTTGATTTGCATATTAGCCTTTTATTATATAGGATTAGAGGGCCGATGCATGAAATTCGTGCAGGGGGCTCAGGTCTCGCAGCTGCGGCAGCGGCAGCTTGCCTCAGCCCTCGCAGCACCGGCTTCATCCGGAAGGACATCTGGAAGGTCGTTTGGCTGTCCAATCTAATTAGCATATTACATTTTTATTATTATAGATTACCTTCATATGCTTTAATTTAGTCCTGAGGAATCCATTTGAAACAATTAGCATCCCATTTTATTGTGCGTATCAAAGGCTACTTGAGAAAAATAATAAAAGTTTACCTCACATCATTTTTATAAGGGACAAAATTCCAAGTAAAGTTTTTTACATTAATTGAATCCTATTTTAACACAAATTCTCTAATAATTCTTCTTGCTTTAGTAAGATAATACTGGCATCACTGTAATTTTGAGGTAACAAACCAAGAACACCTCCATTCTGGGAGGAAAAGCTGCCTTTGAACATCTGCACACTAGGCTGGTAACAGTGGGAAAAGAAGTGGCAAGGATTGTCGTGTAACACTGTAACCAGTCATAAGCTGAATAACCCACTTGCACAATTCTTGTCATTCAGACACACTCAGTAGCTTTGATTTCTCCATAATAGCCCCCACCCTCAAACCAGCGCGTAGTTGTACACTCAGCACACAAGGCTGCTGACAATGCTTTATTGGACGTCATGAATACAACTGACATGGAAATGAAGCGGATACAGTCATGCCCAACTGGCATGCAGTTCACAGTTAATTGTGAGAGTTTGAAAAGTTAACAAGTGCAATTAGCATTTTTCATAAATATATTGATTTCTGAAAAACATTTTTAGTAACTACTTAGTTTAAAAAAATACATATTGATCAAAAGGAAAAACTCAAAATCTATTAAGTGGATAATCCCTGGGAAGGTTAAAAAAATGGGTTCATATCCCATTTTCCACAAGTCTGACCTGTTTATTTACTATTAATTCACAGAACCTGGGCCTCAGTTTTTAAAGCTAACATCCTGGGGTTTCTGGGAGGTAGGGTCATTATGAAAAAGGAAACACCTCCATTCTGTATATAAAAGACAGTGTTGCATATTGATTGCTTCATGACCCCTAAAAAGTACTTCCATTTAGAGTCGAAGGCCCAGGTATTGCCCATTAAGAAATACACAGTTGAATGTATTTCTCCCTCCAAAGTTAGTGAAATTAACATTGCTGTCACACACAGGAGACAGTGGCATACTGTATTAACTTTAGTAGCAATTAGTACCAGGAGGAAAAGACTGCTATACAGGAAAATACACAAATCTATAGATAAAAGTGGAAAACAATTTGCTGTAGCTATTACGCAGATGTGCTGACTTAGCGCCCACAAGACTCTTGCTTTACTCTATAGAAGTGGGTCCCACGATAGTTTAACTGCCCATCCCCAAATGTTAAAGTGAAATGAAACTCAACAAATTCTAAATGATTGCTATACTTAAATTATCTGTAAATAAGAACAGTCAACTGTTGTGGCACAAATAGCCTGTGAATTGTAAACATACAAAGACACGGACAAGCTCATGCCTGAAAGAGAAGCTGCCCTGAGTCTTAGTTCTTGGTCAGAGATCCGATGGCTGCACTCGTGGGCCACCTGTGAGCTCCCCGCTTGACATCACAGTGCACTCTGTAGGCCAGGTGTGTGCTCACCAGCCGATACAAGGGTCTGGGCAATCCCGCAGGTACGTTTCAAATTGACCTTTGGTAACGTCCATCAAGGTTGTGAATACAGTCAGCTGAAACAAAGTTATTTTTATTTTAAGGATGTTTTCAATTCTAAGATGTCCTGATTCACATTAGCATTTCTTATGGAACTGCTTTATGAAGTTAATATTAAATAATGAATATATAATATTACATATAAGTAAGTATATAAAACAAATGTTATATAATTTAAAGTCTAAACTGACTTCAACAGACTATTATTCCAGGTTGTGAATATGACAGGCTTGGGAGAGAAGCAAGGTCTCTTCCTGGGCAGCACGCTGCTTCACCAGCAAGGCTGTAAGACTAGCCTTCAGCCTCCAGAGCCTAATGGTGTACTGTGGAGTCTGAACAGTTTTGCTTTAGCTGTCCTTATCCTTAAACCATACACAGTGGGGGACACTATGCAGGCATGCAGATTAAAGGCATACACACAGGAGGCACACAGGATCTGTAAATAACCACTGTGAGCTCTCATAATGATGGCATGGGCCAAACAAGAAGTACGGTCGGGACAGTGGGCTCAAGGAAGGCTTCCTGCAGGAGCCAGGTTCGGATTGAATGCTACGGGCAGGGGTGATGGAGGCAGGCTGATTTTAGGGAGGGTGAGGGGGAAGGGCCAAAGAGGACAGATGGGAAAATCAGGGTGTGTATATCCAGAATACACAAGGGGGACTTAATAGTACATTGGGTGACTAGGAAACTGCATTTTTAGCTACAGTGTGGGGAAAAGATAAAAGGATGTAATGAAGCTTAAGAGACACCCTAATCCACCAAGACACAAACTGCCTCAGAATGGACTCTGTCAGGTTTTAGGTGCTAGTTGTCGTGTACAGCATACGATTCTGGTGGACAGGGAGAAGTCCAGGCTAAAACGCTACACTTAATTCAATGCCATGTAAGCAAAACTAGAAACGATACTTTGACCAAGCTGACATCCAAGCCACATGATCCGTTTCTTTGTCCCATCCGACAGTTACTACTTTAGTCACACAAAAACATTTTTACAAGTCGGCCTTAAGCTGAACACGCCTTGTGATTCTAGCTCTGACTTCTCCAATGATAACAGGGAAAGATAAAACAGGACCAAATTGTTCCTAAAAGCAAATATATGTATATATTTTAAATACCTTGTTGAGGACAGGTTTTGTTGACAGGATATCATAGATAGTTGGTAATGAGATATTCTGAAACATAAAAATAGGTTGTTCAGTACATTAAATACAGACGTCAACAGCCTTATGCACACAAATGGGTCATTAGAAACCAAGACATTGTCAGTCAACCTCCCCAGCCCCTAAATGAATCTCCCTTGGGGTCACTATTAGAAACACAGGTAACGGTTCTCACGTTTCACTTTTTCTGACTTTTCCTCCCCTTTTAATTCTTGTCTATCATTCGCTTCACCAAGTGGTTTCCAGAATTAGAAAGGGAAGTACAGCAAAGTTTTGCTCTTTAAATTAAAAACAAAACAAAATCTCGGTGGGGACTATGCATTGATAATAGATAACATGAGGCTTATGAACCCCATAAAGGCCCAATAAAAATGCCAGAACTAATACAATCTTAATGAGGCCATTGCTTTCTGTATCTGACACCGTGAATGCTCTTTACCTCCTGGGTTGTCTGGTTTAGACACGTCTTGGCAGCTGATCTGCGGTCATCGAGGAAGAGGGGATGTTTCCAACGGTCATAGTTAGTTTCTACGACATACCATCTATCCTGCTTGAGGTCGAGTCTAGATACCAAAAGAGATTCCTCTCAGGCCCATGCCTTAAACGTGTACATACGTCAGTTCGTGCTTTAGCTTCTACTTTGCTTTAACAATGTACTTACTCATAAACATCCAAAGATTTCTTTCTTTCTCGTGTAATCACACAGCCCTCCCCCGACTTGTTGCCTCCCAGGATAAAGTATGCTGGGGCCAGTATCTTCGTTTTGACCAGTGTATTCTTTGCTTCTTCATAACTACATAAACACATGTTGTAGAAAAGAAACATTCTTAGTTGACTTGGAATGGAAGTTTTTTAACCACAGAAACGAAGCGTAAACAAATATCTGAGGAGCACATTTTAAAAAGGATGGTGAGCAATGGCTCAGGGAGGAACAATCTGACTCCCATGTGGTGAAACACAGATCTGAAATGTCCCCTCTGGGCTGAAGGACAAACACAACAGTCTCAAGAGATAATCTTCCACCCTTATTGTCGATGCCTTTCACTCAACAATAGAACAAGAGGAAGTAGTATTACTATATATATAGGGCTTAGGGAATAGAGAGTAAACCTTGGAAATTAGGGCTATTAATCAAGGAAGAGGATCTTCAAAGATTACTAAATCTTATTCCCTGGAAAGCATTAAAAATAGAATTGATGCCCCTTTATTCTAGGTCATTTAGATGTAGTGCTGGCTAAAGGCAGTGTTGCTATTATAAGATTTCTGCACCAGTACAGAATATAACTTCTAGGGCAGTGATGGCGAACCTATGACACGCGTGTCAGAGGTGACATGCGAACTCATTTTTTTGGTTGATTTTTCTTTGTTAAATGGCATTTAAATATACAAAATAAATATCAAAAATGTAAGTCTTTGTTTTACTATGGTTGCAAATATCAGAACATTTCTATATGTGACACGGCACCAGAGTTAAGTTAGGGTTTTTCAAAATGCTGACACGCTGAGCTCAAAAGGTTCGCCATCACTGTTCTAGGTTAACAGGTATTATGACTTAAAGGGACATTTTATTATATAACTAGAGGCCCAGTGCATGGAATTTGTGCACGGGGGAAGGGGGTCCCCCTCAGCCCAGTGTACACCCTCTCACAATCCAGGATTGCTGACCCCTAACTGCTCACTGCCTGCCTGATGGCCCCTAACCACTCTGCCTCCCTGATCGCCCCTAACCGCTTGTTGGGGGGCGGCTGGCTTGGGTGAGGAGCTGTGGTTGTTCTTGTCTCTGGTTGTACTGTTGTGGTTACTGGGCTTTTATTATACAGGATTTTTATTTGGGGTATAGGTCCCTTCATAGTGGCACTATCTCCAGAACTTTTTAAACAAATAATTTCCTTACTTTAAACACACACACCACACACACAAATGAAGAATTCCATATGAGATTCACCTATAAAATTCTGAAATGATTCTTCAATTGAAGATAAAGCTGGGAAATGTTTTTCTATTTTAATATGAATAATTTAAAATAAACACACTGAAAGAATCATACACCATGTCAAGTGGGACATAATAAAGGCCATAGATGATGAGCCCACAGCTAACTTATTCAATGGTGAAAAGCTGAATGAATTCTTTTCCTCCAGGAACAAGACAAAGATGCCCATTTTATTCTACACTAGAGGCCCAATGCATGAAATTTGTGCAAGAGTAGGCCTTCTTTCCCCTGGCTGCTGGCACCGGCTTCCCTCTGGTACCCGGGACCCAGGATTCCTTCCAGACACTGGCGGGCACCTGGAACCTGGGACCTGGGCTTCCCTAGCAGCCCCAGCTTCATCTGGAAGGATGTCTGGAAGGACATCCGGTCTAATTAGCATATTATGCTTTTATTATTATAGATAACTAGAGGCCCGGTGCTCCCCAGGGGAATGGGCCTAAGCTGGCAGTCAGACATCCCTCTGGAAGCCCGGGAGCCCTTGGGGGATGTCCACTTGCCAGCAGGAAGCAGACCTAAGCTGCAGTCAGACATCCTTAGCGCTGCTGAGGAGGCGGGAAAGGCTCCCGCCACCACTGCTGTACTGGCAGCCATCAGCCTGGCTTGTGGCTGAGAAGAGCGCCCCCCGTGGGAGTGCACTGACCACCAGGGGGCATCTCCTGCATTGAGCATCTGTCCTCTGGTGGTCAGTGTTTGTCATAGTGACCAGTCATTCCCAGTGGTTCTGCTGTTAGGGTCAATTTGCATATTACCCTTTTACTATATAGGATAGAGGCCTGGTGCACGAGTGGGAGCCAGCTGGTTTGCCCTGAAGGATGTCCTGAGTCAGGGTGGGGTCCTGCTGGGGTATCTGGCCAGCCTGGGTGAGGGGCTGAGAGCCGTTTTCAGGCTGGTCAAGCCCCCCAGTGGGGACCCTCACCTCGTGGGAGTGTGGCCAGCCTAGGTGAGGGGCTGAGGGCTATTTTTAGGCTGGTCAAACCCCTTTCAGGGTGTGGGTCCCCACTGGGGTGCCTGGCTAGCCTGGGTGAGGGGCTGATGGCTGTTTGCAGGCTGGTCAAGCCCCCCAGTGGGGATCCTCACCCCATGGGAGTGTGGCCAGCCTGGGTGAGGGGCTGAGGGCCGTTTTTAGGCTGCCCACAGCCCCTTCAGGGTGGGGGTCTCTGCTAGGGTGCCTGGCCAGCCTGGGTGAGGGGCTGAGGGCCATTTTCAGGCTGGCCACGCCGGCGGGCTGGAAGCAGGTATCTGGGATTTATTTAACTTCTATAATTGAAACTTTGTAGCCTTGGTCCTGCTCGAAGCCTGAGTTACCCCTGGCAACCGAGGCTCCCAGCCCCTCCTTGAGCAGAGGCCACAGTGGCTGAAAGCAGGTATCTGGGATTTATTTATCTTCTATAATTGAAACTTTATAGCCTTGAGCGGAGCTCAGGGCCGGCCAGGGCAGGCGGGAAGCTTGGCTTCCTCCATCGCCGGGGTAACCCAAGCCTCCTGCTTGCTCCAACTCCATAGCTGCTGCCATCTTTGTGACAGAGTGACAGAGTGAGGGAGTGATGGTTAATATCATATTACTCTTTTATTAGATAGGATGTTGGCAGTACTAGTCAAAGCAATTAAGAAAAAGAGAAGGTATCCAAATCAGAAAGGTATGCTATTTGTTTAGGTATTATATATAGAAAAAACTAAAGACTACACTAAAAAAACCTGTTAGAACTAATAAATTCAGTGAAGTTGCAGGGTAAAAATGCACAAAAATCAGTAGCTACGCACTAACAATGAACTACCCAAAAGAGAAATTAAGAAAATAATCCCATTTACAATTATATAAAAAAGAATAAAATACCAAGGAATAAATTTAACCCAGGAGGTGAAAGACCGGTACACTGAAAACTGTAAGACATTGATGAAAGAAATGGAAGACATAGATAAATGGAAAGATGCTCCCTGCTCATGGGTTGGGAAATTAATATTGTTAAAATTCTATACTACCCAAAGCAATCTACAGATTCAATCCCTATCAAAATTCTAATGGCATTTTTCACAGAAGAAAATATCCTAAAATTACATGGAGTCACTAAAAAACCCTGAATAGCAAATGCAATATTGAGAAAGAACAAAGCTGGAGACATCCCACTTCCTGATTTCAAATTATATGACAAATCTATAGTAATCAAAACAGCATGGTATTGGCATAAACAGACATATAGCTCTATGGAAGACAATAGGGAGTCCCCAAACAAATCCATGTATATACAGTCAATTAATTTACAACAAAGGAGTCAAGAATACACAATGGGGAAAGGACAGTCTCTTCAATAAATGACTTTGGGAAAACTGGACAGCCACAGCAAAAGAATAAAAACAGACTACTATCTCACACCATACACAAAAATCAACTCAAAATGAAGTAAAGACTTGAACATAAGACCTGGAACCATAAAACTAGAAGAAAACATAAGTGGTAAGTTCTTTGACAATGCTATTGGCTATGATTTCTTTGGACTTGACACCAAAATCAAAAGCAACAAAAGCAAAAATAAACAAGTGAGACTTTAGTTAATATCAAATTAAAAGGCTTCTGTACAGCAAAGAAAACAACATGGGAGGAAATATTTGCAAAGCATGTATCTGATAAGGGTTACCATCCACAATACATAAAGAACTCATGCAACTCAACAGCAAAAAATAAACCACATCAAAAAGACAAACAATCCTATTAAAAAATGGGCAGAGGTTCTTACTAGACATTTTTCCAAAGAACATATACCAGTGGCCACCAGGTCCATGAAAAGATGCTTGCCCTAGCCAGTTTGGCTCAGTGGATAGAGTATCGGCCTGTGGACTCAAGGGCCCCAGATTCGATTCCGGTCAAGGGCATGTACCTTGGTTGCGGGCACATCCCCAGTAGGGAGTGTGCAGGAGGCGGCTGATCGATGTTTCTCTCCCACTGATGTTTCTGACTCTCTATCCCTCTCCCTTCCTCTCTGTAAAAAATCAATAACATATATTTAAGAAAAAAAAAGATGCTTAACATCAGTAATCAGGGAAATGCAAATCAAACCACAATGAGATACCACCTCACAACTGTTAGACTCACTTTTCTCAAAAGACCTGAAATAACAAGTGATGGTGAGGATGTGGAGAAAAGGGACCCTGTGCACTGTTGGTGGGAATGTAAATTGGTGCAGCCACTATGGAAAACAGTATCCAAAAAAAATTATGCACCCCCATATTATTGAAGCATCTACACCAGTGGTTGGCAAACTCATTAGTCAAAAGAGCCAAATATCAACAGTACAACGATTAAAATTTCTTTTGAGAGCCAAATTTTTTAAACTTAAACTCTATAGGTAGGTACATTGTTATTAACGTAATTAGGGTGCTCCTAAGCTGGCCTTTGCTAAAAACATCCTCAGTCTGATTGAGGTACGACTCCTTCCAACTCTCCCATCCACACTCGTCTTGTATACTTGTTTCATCTATCTCCTTTCGTTCATCCTCTCTATATGTCCAAACCATCTCAACATACCTTTCTCAATCCTCGACACTACATCTTCTTTCACTCCACAACATTCCCTAAAATTAACTTAAGGAGGGCTTGGCCAGACTGCAAACAGCCTCACCCAGCCTGGCCAGGCACTCCTATATAATAAAAGGGTAATATGCAAATTGACCCTAACAGCAGAACCACTGGGAATGACTGGTCACTATGACACACACTGACCACCAGGGAGCTCTGCTCAGCTACAAACCAGGCTGCCAGCTGCCAGTGCAGCAGTGGTGGTGGGAGCCTCTCCCGCCTCCTTAGCAGCACTAAGGATGTCTGCAGGTTAGGCCTGCTCCCCCCTGGCAAGTGGACATCCCCCGAGGGTTCCCTGGCTGCCAGAGGGATGTTTGACTGCCAGCATAGGTCCAATCCCTTGGGGAGCAGGCCTAAGCCAGCAGGTGGACATCCCTCTAGGGGTCCCAGACTGCAAGAGGGCACAGGCCGGGCTGAGAGACAGCCCCCCGAGTGCACAAATTTTTGTGCACCGGGCCTCTAGTTATTTATAATAGCCAAAACATGGAAACGTAACAGGTGTCCATATGCGGAGAAATGGGTAAAGAAAATGTGGAATACTATTCGGCCAAAGAAAAAAGATCTTGCCATTTCTGACAGGGATGGATCTTGAGGGCATTATGCTAAGTGAAACCAATCAGACAGTGAAAGACAAGTACCATATGAGCTCACTTATATGTGGAGTATGAACACAAAAAATGCATAGGTACAGAGAACAGATTAGTGGTTGCCAGAGGCAGTTGAGTGATGGGGAGGGAGGGAGGTTGAAATGGGTAGAGGGAGTCAAAATGTAAAAACGTTGAGTTATATAATAAGTCATGGGGATGTAAGGTACAGCATGGTTACTACAGTTAATAACATTGGACTGAAAATTCTGAAGTTGCTAAAAGTAAACCTTAAAGCTCTCATAAGGAAAAAAGTTTGTAACTATGTATGGTGATGGATGTTACACTTATTGGGATCATTTTGCAATATATACAAATATCAAAACATTTTGTATACCTTAAACTAATGTTACACTTTAATTATATCAATAAAAATAATCCTATATAATAAAAGAGAAACATGTAAATTGACCTCCCCTCCACTATGCTCACCAGCCAATCAGGAGTGAGTATGCAAATTAAACCAACAAAGATGGTGAGTTAATTTGCATACAAAGGCACCAGGTGGAGAGCAGAGCAGGAGAGCTGGTGGAGAGTGGAGCAACTTGGGGAACTTGGCTCCCCAAGCCACCAGATGGAGAGCAGAGAGGGAGAGCTGGTGGTCTGGATTACTTGGCAGAGTAGGAGGCTGTGGGACAGAGAGAGAGCAGGAAGGGAAAACCAAGAGCGTGGGGAGCACCAGGAATTCTGGGAATAGTAGTTCTGGTGGCAGCCCCAGGACCGGAAGCAGAGGCCCAGAGCACAGGGAGCACCAGGAATGCTGGGAATTGTAGTTCTGGTGGCAGATGGATCTCTTAGACCAGCCACAGGCAAACTATGGCCCGTGGGCCGGATCCAGCCTGTTTGAAATGAATAAAACTAAAAAAAAAAAAAAGAAAGACCGTACCCTTTTATGTAATGATGTTTACTTTGAATTTATATTAGTTCACACAAGCACTCCATCCATGCTTTTGTTCCGGCCCTCCGGTCCAGTTTAAGAACCCATCGTGGC